CTCTCTCTCTCTCTCTCTCTCTCTCTCTCTCTCTCTCTCTCTCTCTCTCTCTCTCTCTCTCTCTCTCTCTCTCTCTCTCTCTCTCTCTCTTGCTTGCATGTGGACTGTGTGCGTCTTCTCCTGCCCGTGTGTGTGTTTGTAGGTCTGTGCGTGCATGTGTGCCAGTTCTTTTTTTCCCTGCCACCAACGTTAAGCATGTTCTTGAACGCCGCAAGTAAAATGTGGGCCTTCCATCATTGAACAAGACCTTGGCGTGACCTACAGTGAAACCAGTGCACGCACCCCAAGAAATGTGCTTGAAAGTTTGAAACCGGTGCATGCACATGGCCCACGGCACAAAGAAAAGGTGTGCCTACCGCACACATGAAATGCCACCGAACTTAGTGACTGTTGATCAGCAAGTGTCGTGCGGTGCCCCCAACGCGACGGTCTCAATCACATCTTCATGGCCTTTGGTGAACCATGAACATGCAACGGCAAGTCCAATACCGCAATACAGCCGACCATGATAGCTTGTTCATGATTTGCAGTTTGTACCCACCCGCGAGCTAGTGAGTTTCGTATACATAGTGACAGCTCAACATATTGCTTGTACTCAAGTGCTAGAGCACGCCACAGAAGTTCTTTGTGCATGAGCAGGTAGGTCAATGTGCCATCCCATAACTAGTGATGCACAGTCTCCCTTTGGAGTCTGGACAAGACATTCGGTGATACAAGGGAGTCCTGTGACTTCTATCCTTTGGGACACCGAATTGAGAGAAGATTAGCATGACCACCGGGCAAGGATTACCCACAGAAGCGAGGGACCGTCAAAATAAAAATAGAAAGGAGAGGTACTGGAGTGATCATACGGAGAATGAAACAGCTGGCAAAGGGTGGATACAGCAGGTGATAAAGGGGTTCTTCGGGGGTCTCTTTGGAGAATGGAATAAGAGAGTTCCCGAGAACATCAATCAAGCTCACGGAGTGTTGGGAGAATTTCTGCTCCCATCCCCACTGGTTTTTACCCATATCCTCCAACCGGCGGAGCCTGGACCTGCTCTGCTGATCTTTGGGTTCTTCAGAGATAAGCCCCATGAGCAATGGATAGTCATGATGGATCCAAGCTTCTTTTTCTGCCTCCGTAGGATCAATGACGACAGGGAGCAGCTCATCAACAATCCACACTACAGCAAGCATGAGGAGGCGCCGCTCTTGTGAATCCAGAGGCTCCTTTCCAGTCACCTTTCCAATGATCCCCCTCACTTCCCAAACCACACCTGCACAGATCCACAAGGAAGCACAACACCATTGTTGAACCTGGGAGTTTGGGACATAACCACCTCTGCAGTTGCCTAGTCTTGTGGCTGCTATATAATATGTGAGACTGTACAGGGACATTTGAGAAAATTGCATGGCACAACAGCAACACAAGCATAGGCAAACAAAATTTTGCAGTAACCTACAAATTTTGCGACTCATCCTCTCTCTTCTTGACACAAAAATCTGTTTTTCAAATTTTCACAACACTCCGTACGATACGCAAGATGCCTGCAGAAGCCCCCTCAATATACACTACAAAAATATGATGCAAAGTTGTGGATATGATTTTTTTACGACTCTTCACATGAGCAACAATCTTCTCCGTTGAATGTAACAGGCCCAAAATCCAAATCACCTGACTGATGACAGGAGCATCAGTTAGGCCAAGTGCACCCAGGGGCACTATGGGCCCATGTAGTTTGTTTCCGATTTTTTTGCTGAATTTCGCACCGAAACTGTCGTCGAAAACGACAAATTTTCGGCCCTTCGTTAACCGTGTGTCCCCAGAGGAGGTAGGTTGGGTAGAGGCTGGAAGCGTGGAAGTGCCCGGGGGTAAGAGGTATTCCAGGCCGGGCTGTAACCGTTTATCATTCGGTACAATGAATAGTCCGGGCATTCGCCTGGGGGAGCACTTGGGTGATGCAGGGGGAGCTGAGGGAGAGGAAGAAAACCTCCAGGGCAGTGAAGGTGGAGTGGTAGGAGATGGTAGAGGGCCTAGGCTATGGAGATAGACGGAGAAGGCCTCCAGGCAGGATATGGAGTAGCGCAGAGGTTGAGGAAGGAGGTGGGAATCGACAAGGAAACTTACCTTTGGAAATGGTGGACCTTGAACTTCATCTTCCTGGTTGGGCTGCATTAAGAAGGGGGCCCTGCTGGGGTACCGGTTGGACATGGACTTCATCCATAGGCATCGGAGTAGTTGCATTGTGTGCTGAACACCAGTGTTCGCAATGGATGAACCGCCATAGCTTGTTGCAATACCAAGTGTTAGAGGAGAGGAAAGGAGGCTAAAGGAGAGCTCTTTCTAAGCTGGCAGTAAGGGGATCATCCAGACATCGATTTCCGTTCATTTACTACTATATTACTCTATTTCATTGGTAAATAAGAGGAGTCGATTTTGTGAGAGAGATGGTGATGGTGAGAAGAGAAGGGAGACGACAACGGTTCGATCCTGTGCTCTTCTTCTTCTTCGTCTTCTTCCTTCATTCTTCTCCTCTCCTGATCCCACTACACTTCTTGTTGAGTCGCAATAATTGGCATTGTCTCAAAAGCGCAGTCTAACATCATGAAGTGGACAAGAGCATAGCATGTAAGAAGAAGAAGATGGAATCATGTTTTCAATTCTGAGGCCCTGTGCTGGTGCCATGCAATGAGATCGAGTAGTACAAAGTGAACAATGGGATTTAACTCATAAACCTTGTGCCCGATGCTCCTGCAACTCCCATTCACTCAGTCCAACCCATCAGTCTTCCAGACCTGTCTGCTGACTTGTACACACCCGGAACTGTTAACCCCAGGAGTTCGAATCCAGTCGAGTTTTGTAAATCTTAGGCTACCCCCATGCTTATTTATTTATCTAATATTTATTGATCAGTGATCACCTTATTTTCTTTATTTCTTTACTTCTTTATTTGATTTTGTAATTATTAAATCATTATTTTTATTGCAAGTTGGCAACCACGATATGGTCAAAGTACAGTCACACAGACTTGATCAGTCATCTGTCCAAACTCCAAAGCCAACAAAAGTTACAAAACAAGATTACCTTGATGAATCAACTCAATCCGAAGTGGTTGGCTCAACTTCAAACTTGATCTGTTGATGGACTGATCCTAGCGGTGGAAGAAGACAAAGGAAGGTTCTCATGCCTGGTCCCAAGGGTCCCAAGGGTCCCAAGGGTCCCAAGTGTGTCATTCAAAGGAGACGTATGGAACAGCTGGTGCACTTACCTTCATACCGTCCCTGACGTTCATAGGCCAATGCCCTTGATACACAGTCCTCCCGCGATAAACCAATGTGCTGCTTCAGTGGTTTAAACAGTGTACACACGAAAACGTCGAAAAGCGAGCAAATTCAATATTAATTAGTCCACAAAAAGCAGAAGTAGGAATTCTGATTTCCGCCATTTCCTGAAATGGAATATGAAGTGTTCAAGTGCGCCACTACATGGGGTTCAATTTCCGTTCAAACTTCAAATCGCTGAAAAATGGTTACCTAATGAGAATGCTTTCAGGAGGTCGTACCTGGAACTAGGCTTAGATTCTAGTGTATCTTTCTTCTTTCAAGTTTCAAGTTTCAAGTTTCAAGTGTCAAGTGTCAAGTGTCAAGTGTCAAGTTTCAACTAATAATCAATTATAAAATTATATAAATGCAAAAAATCGTACAGTAAATTGTGTAATAGTTATGATCAGGACATTTTCTTTCATACCGTCGTGCGGGTGGTTGGACAGCTGTTGCAATAAACTTCCACATAACAGGTGTCCACCAGATGTCCATTTTGCATGGCATTCTGTCCGGGCACCCCAGCCACAGGAGCAGGATTGGCAGTACGTCCGACACAAAACCATCACCCCCCAACGGTACAGACGACATAGTGACAGAAATGCTGATACAAGACGAAGGTTGGCTCCGGCATAGGTAGAAACAATAAGCCATCCAACTGAAATGAGCACTAACAACTGCAGCAGCAAACAAGCAATTGGGCAGAGCCGAGGAGGGCTGCAAATTTTCAGGGCCACAAGAACGCGCATGAAGAGAAAAACATGGATGGAGAGGGGGTGAATCCTTCCTGTTAAGGACATAATCATCAGTGCTGTGGGATCAGGATCTCTCGACCATAACTGAGGGAAGCGTCGAGTGTGTAAACCATGTGCGGAAAGCTGAGCCCGGATTTCAGCACGTAATAAAAGGGACGGCACCTCTAGAAATAAATAAATAAATATGAATTGCTGGCACCTGCTGCGGTAGAACAATAGCAGGCGCTCAGCAAAAGACAGGCGAAAATCCACAGTTGTCATGGACTGACATGGAAGAAGTCCGAAGAACGCATCGAGAGTCGGACCCAATGTTGTAAAAATTGGCCAGCTGAGATTCTCTTTCTCGATCATAAGAGCAGTCGTGCACTTGCAAAGACCAACGCAGATTTTAGTATTTTATAATTTTACTCTTATCCTGCATTTAATTTAACTGAGTTTGCTTAACTTTGCTGTGATTTCCCGAATTCCCTGTGCGTTTGTGCGCCAAATGTATGTTGGTACTATGTCCACGACTCCAAAGTCATAAACTTTTATGTTTCTTTTTTTTTTCAATTTTTTTGCATGTCATCATAGACCTCGACGTGTCCGAGTGCAATCATACTCGGCTTATTCACACTTGTCACACATGCAAACCGCGATACAGCATACTGGCGACCTGCGCCCACACAGTACTCAAAGATATCGTAACCAGGTAAGAGTCTCTTCCAACTGGCTATGGCGACTGAGCGCCCACACAACTCACTGTTCGCACTCTGGATCACCCTGGATGTCCCACACGTCTTCGGGCGCACTGCAGACCTCCTCGCACAAGCTGCTGAGGCAGCGCTTCCGCATGGCATCCGCAGGAATGAGTGAATGGCTGGACGCAGCCTCTTGATTTATACTTCTGTGCGGCGTTGGTCTACCCTGTATCCCTTGGCCCACGATGTGCACAGTCCCAGATGGTACTTGCTTGACTGGACCGGACTGGGCTACCTGGGACTGCTGACTCTGCGTAGTGGACCTATACCACTTGCCCACTTGCCTCGGCCTAAACAGGGGCTGACTCCGAAAGGCCAGTTCTAGAAACCTCTACTTGGCCTTTCGGTACTGTAGCAGCTACGACTTTGCCCTTTCGTGTAAGTAGCAGCTACGACCTTGACCCTTCAGACATCCTACAGCTACGACTTCGGAACTGTCTAGACTCTTACCCTACAAGTCTACAGTTCGATTCCCTTCTAAGCTGTGACCTACGAAAACCTGCCTACCACTGGCGGTCCTACAGGTCGCGGGTTCAAGTCTACGGGTTGACACTGATACTATACACAGGTAAGACGGGGAACTAGGGATCGAGCCCTGGGATCTGCATTCGCTACTGTGAACTGGTGAATACCGTTTCACTCCCGCCGGCCTAAACTCGAGGTCCTCCGAGAAAATTTCAGTCCAAGGCAGGACCTTTACCCTTCTGCTGTCTCTCGTAGGCCCGGACTATATCGGGAGCTGTCTCTAGAAGTTCCGATCTTGTAAACCAGCGGTCGTCTTCCGGTTCCTGATAACTAAAATGAACCTTATACTGTTTCTGTGGACGACCCCTACCTCCAGTTCTGAAGACATCTTCAGCCACTATACCATCTATGTCATATCTTCCATCCATATCCGGTGGGATCATCAATCTACGGGATGGAAACTGATCACTTGTTTGACAAGGTAGTAACTTCGATGCGTGGAAAACTGGGTAAGTGTGGAGGTGTGCTGGTAACTCTATGGTGTAGGACGGTCCATCTTCGCCGCCCTTGACTTCCAGAACAGGCCACGGTCCTCAATATGTGGGCAGTAACTTCTGCGAGATGTTCTCCTCAGGCGGAAACTCTTTAGAACTGACCCAGACTAAGTCGCCTACTTTAAACTGTGAAGGGCGACGATGTTTATTCGCTTGCTCCATCATTCTATGCTGGGCTTTCCTGAGGTTCTCTACAACAGTAGCTAGTTCTTTCTCGTGCTGCACAGCAAACTCCCTGGTCCCGGGCGGCAATCTATGAATCTGATCCCGGTTGAGTCCCTCAAACGGTCGGCGCGGTCTAAAGGACTTGTGCAGTTCGTTGGGAGTGCGGCATGTAGACAAATGCACGCTGTTATTGTACGCACTAGCTACTTTGGGCAACATCTCATCCCAGTTTGATCTGGCCTAATGTACATGCGCAGAACTTGTTGTAGGTCTTGTTCATCTGCTCTGTCTGACCGTTAGTCTCTGGATGACGGCCGGACGACATTAACAACTTAGATCCATACACTCCCATGAGTTTTTGCCAGTTCTGGCTGGTAAAGCGACTATCTCTATCGCCAACTATTGACAGTGGGATTCCATTCTCACTAACCCAACAGTCAAAAAACCTCTGAATGACTAAATCAGTACGTGCCTCTGACGGCAAAGGAACAAAGACTGCGTACTTACTAAATCGGTCAACTATGACCATGACTTGGCTCTTGCCATGCCTGCTTTTGACGTGAGTGTCCATGAAGTCGATGGACACTGAGTCCCCCGACTGGTCCGGGATGGGCAAGGGTCTGAGAAGACCTAGCGGGGCGCGCGTAGAACTCTTGTTACGCTGGCAAACCTTACAACTGCGAACATACTCTACACAGTCATTCTTCATCCCTGGCCAGGTATATGCGCGCGTTAGATTGGCTAAAGTCTTTTGCCAACCAAAATGACCCTCTGTGTCGTGGCATTCACCCAAAATCAGACTACGAATCTCTTCGCTATTGGGGATGCATAGGCGGTCAAACACATTAGTCTTCTAGAAGAGCAACCCTTCAGTAGTGCGATAATTCAGCTCAATCTCCGGGGCTTCCTTGACTTTCTTAAGGAGCTCACTATAGATAGGGTCCTGCGCGTAGGCTTCTCTAACCTTCTGCTGCAGATCTTTCCCTATATCGAGGTAGTGCAATATTGCCCCGAAGTAATCAGCTCTTCTACTCAGAGCGTCCGCAACTACATTATACTTCCCTTTGACAGGCTTGAGCTCAAAGTCGTACTGATCTATCTCTGCGGCCCACCTAGTAAGCTTAGGTGTCATCTTGGCCTGCATCTTTAACCATCGTAACGTTTCATGGTCAGAATAGACTTTGAAGTGCCTCCCAAGCAAGTAATGCTTCCAGTGGTCTAATGCTTGCCTGAGAGCGTAGAGTTCCCTCTCATAAGTGGATGTCGCGACCTTCTCTGAAGGCATCCTAGCAGACATGAACTCTACGGGTCTATACCCATTGCCATCGTCTTGYTGTAACACCGCRCCTATGCCGTATTGACTCGCATCGGYCGTGACGACAAAAGGYAGGGRTGGATCGGCGACTTYAAGGACTGGATACTCTATCAATGCCTGTTTTAGCTTCTTCATKGCAGACGTGCAGTCCTTGTCCCACTTCCAGATTGTCTCCTTTCTCAGCAATCTGCGAAGGGGCGCAGCGATGGTGGAGAAGTTCCTCACGAACTTCCTGTAGTAATTCGCTAAGCCCAGGAACGAGCGCAACTTTGTCAGCGTACGTGGCGTGGGCCAATCTCTAATCGCTGCGATCTTGCTATCCTCTGGCTTAACGCCGTCTCCATCTAAGACGTGGCCTAGATACAGAACTTATGTCTTCGCCCAATCGCACTTCTTCGCATTGATCTTGAAGTTAACTTCCCTCAGCTTCTCCAAGACCTGCCTGAGATGACCCTGATGCTCTTCGAGGGTCTTACTAAACACTAGAATGTCATCTAGATAAACTACAACAAATCTGTCTAACCACGGCCTAAACAAATCGTTCATACAGCGCTGGAATGTAGCTGGCGCATTGGTTAGTCCAAAGGGCATCACTATGAACTCGTAATGCCCATACCTAGTCCGGAAGGCTGTCTTATACTGATCATCAGGATGCACCTCTATCTGATGATATCCGGACTTCAAATCTATCTTAGAAAAATACTTCGCCCCCTGCACTCGATCTAAGAGATCGTCTATTCTAGGCTGTGGCTCAACATTCTTTACTATAATAGTATTCAGACCCCTATAGTCTATGCACATTCTCAGCTCTCCCTCTTTCTTAGGAACAAAGAGGACGGGCGCTCCGAAAGGAGACGAACTGGGCCTAATCCAACCCTTCTCGAGGAGCTCGTCTAACTGCTTGCGAAACTCCCGCGGGGACATCCTGTACACCGCACCCTTAGGAGTTCTACTGCCAGACTCTATCTCGATACGGTGCTGGATGGGCCGCGGCACCGTGCCTATCGGCGGCTCAGTCATCTCTAAACTCTTCCAGCAGCTTGGTAATCGCAGGGTCCATCGGCCTTTCTTCCGTAGGCTCAGTCACTGGCCTAACATAGGCAACAAAGACCTGTTCCTCCAATCCCTCCTTCATCACCAACCTGGCGAACGCAAGAGCACTAAGACAGCAATGTGCCAAGGGATTCTCTACTCCTGACACATGGAACAGGCGGGCAGTCTTAGCCTCGCCTGAAGAACTAGGAAGCCTACACTCGTGCTCCTTCAAATGGAGCGTGGCCCCGGCTGCCTCTCCCCAATCCATTCCCAGGACAATATCAAATGGGAGGCTGTCTTCTACGAGGAGAGTCAGGGAGTGGAGGACCCTTTCCACTTTCCCATCCTTCTCTAGGCGAAAATACGCCTGGACTCCCTCTACATACTCCTCCACAACCATCATACGGTTGTCTGCGAGGATACTAACT